TTTCGATTTTTAAGGTTCGATGCATTTTTAATTATTTATGATAAAATAACGTTAAAAAGTCAGTATCTCGACAATTTTTAGAAGTAGGCTGTGCCTGCAAATATTTTTGAAATTGAAAGCAGAATAAGGTTAAACGTCAATTAGTTGACAGTTAGTTTTGTTGTCTGTTGAAACCTGAAACATTTTTTTGCAATTGTGAATGCACGAAATTTAGTTTCTTTTACCTGTTTTTTTTGTAAGTTTTATAAAAATGCCATTTTTATTCTCCAATCAAGAGTTAGCGGATATTCATTTTGTGTAAGGCTTTGTAAATGGAAACGCAGCAGAAGCAGAAAGAGAATACGCACGAAGATTTCCAAACAGACGACATCCAACTCGCTCAGTATTTGTAAGAGTGCATCGCCAAATAATTGAAAATGGTTTTGGAAATCTCCAAAGGGATCAAAACATAAATGTTCGTCAGCGCAGATTTACCCGTATGATTCTGCGTGAGTTTGATAGAGATCCGACCACAAGTGTTAGGAGAGTTTCTGGTGCCTTGGAAATTTCAGCAAGCCATGTTCACCGTGTTCTTAGAAATGACCATAGACGTCCTTACCATTTGCAACCTGTGCAAGGACTACAGCCAGGGGATGGAGAACGAAGAATCACATTTTGTCAGTGGATTCTTGATAGAACGAATAATAATAGGGAGTTTTTAAGTAACGTTTTATGGATCGATGAGTCATGCTTCACTAGACGTGGAGTGGTAAATTTTCATAATCAACGTATTTGGTCGCATGAAAATCCGCATGCAGTTCGGTAAAGAAATTTTCAGCATGAATTTAGTGTCAACGTGTGGATTGATATCTACCGTAATCGACTATTTGGACCCTACCTTTTGCCTGCAAGGTTAAATGCTGCGACCTTCTTGGAATTTTTAAAGGCTGAACATGTAAATATGTGGGATGATGTTATGTTAGATTTAAGAAGATTGGCCTGGTTCCAGCTTTATGGTTGTCCACCTCATTATTCGAGAATAGTTAGAAACTGGCTGGACGAAAATTGTCAAGAAAGATGGATCGGCCGTGGAGGACCAGTCGCCTGGCCTCCACGATCCTCTGACCTAAATCCATTAGATTTCTTTGTGGGGAGATTTCTAAAAGAAAAAGTGTACCAGACTCCCGTAACCACAAGAGATATGCTAATAGACAGAATCAGGAATGCATGTGATAAAATAAGGCCTTATTTGAATAATGCTATACCACGTTCGATCATTCGTAGATGTGAATTGTGTATTGAACAATTGGGTTTACATTTCGAGCAACTACTTTAGATTTTGTATGTTTGTCTTAACTATCCAATAGCATTTTAGTTGTAAATAATTAATTTAATTTGTTAAAAATAATATTGGAAAATTAAACAAATTAATTTTCTGTTTTTTTGTGTTTATTTGGGGTTAGGAATTATTGCTGTGCTTAAAAATACAATCTAAACGATCATCTTAATTGCTTGTAATGCCCAAATCGAAAATGTAAAAAAAATATTATTTTCCCATAAATAATTAAAAATGCTGCGAACCTTAAAAATCGAAATATCTCAAAAACGGCTAACTATAACGAAAACTAACAGGAGAGCTTTTTTATGTTGAAAAGTGCGAAGAATCGGTTTTTTATTCAAAAACTAAAAAATTTGCACTAAGAAAAAATTTTCGGTCATTTTAACACACTACAGGTACAGTAGAGAGCGCCCTCTAGCGGCTACAGTAAAACTATGCTCATGGTTCGTTTTGTCGTACCAAAAAACCCTTGTATACCAATTTTCACTGTTATACATCAAATATTGTTCGAAATATTTAAAAAAAAACTATTTTAGAAAGTAAATTTAAACACCCTGTATTTCGGAAGCCACGCATTTTTCGACCCATGTTTATATAGACTTTATGCATTAATTTTAAAACTTTTATCGAATCTTAAAGTTATGCAACAATAAACTGAAACGCCCTGTATACTTATAATTTGTGAAAAATATGTAATTAACACTGTGCTCAGTTGGTGAATAATGAGACCTCAGATTGTGGTTGTTTGTTCTTTAGTCTTTGATACAAATAGTTGATTTTTGGGCGTCACCCAGTTCCAAAAAGGAATAAAAAGGTAGTACCTTTCGGTCTATCAAAACATACAAACATGTATATTGAACAAAAAAAAATTAAAAGAAGTCCTGGGTGACAAACAAAAGGAAATTAGTTGGTACTACCCCCCAGCTAAATGGTTTCCAGGAAAAAACTAAAATTAAAAGAATCACCTTGGTAGGTGCTTAGCTATCACAGAATCGCGGGATTGATTCACACACAAGAGAAGGGATAGCTGATATGGAGCCTCTCGAAGGTAGGCTACCCAAATGGTAGCTCCGAGGCAAAGGTAACCAGGGGTAAGAAGACCCGGATGTAAATCAGAACCCGAAGGTAGAACCCTTACACAATGAGGGTTCACAGAAATGGGGTCTGCTCCTCACAGACGTGAGTCCTACTTAAAGATCGTTTCGGAGTATTAATGCGGACAGTTCCCCTCAGCTCGACGGTTTAGGTGTAGCTGTGACAACGATTAAATCCCCAAGAGGGTGAGAAAAGTGCCCCGACAACAAAATTCACCAATGGATGCCGATTTCTATCAAAAATTCCCACAACTCGGCAAATACCAGCACTGGGTGTGACATTGTTTTTACTAACGTAGGTGGTGGCGGTTGAACTGCTACAAGAGAGCACCGGAAAAAAATACGTTACGTTCGTTTCTCGTATTTAAGGTCGACGGAAATTATAAAAAAAGAAGTTTATGACAACCGGATGTGCAAGGCCCACATGTCCATGTACAAATAATCTACTTGGAAAAATTACACTAATTAACACACAATTTCCCAGGAGTTTCCAATTAAATAGACATTGTGTTACCCGAAAAACACCGGTATCAACAATAATTATGAGAATTAACCTCACAACAGCAATTCTATAACGTTGACCATAGCCCTCGCCTTCTATTGTCGATTAGAAACATTAATTACGTCTTGGCAATGACCTTTAAAGAGATGGAGAGAAGAGTACGATTTTCTACCATAGAATTATTAGAACAAGAGAAGTGTTTTGCTCCAAAAATAAAATTCAATATTTTAAAGAACTGTTATAAAACTATTATTCTAAATAAAAAAAAACGTTATGATTTACTTTATCAAGATATAGTTCGACCATAAAAAGAAACTGTAACAATCTCTCTATGGCAATGCATATTGTGTTGGTCTTTTGGAATGAAGCAATGGCCTGGGATAATTTCGTCATCATCCACCAGAACAGAATTTCTATGCACTAAGAAGACGTTTATGTTTTGTAGCACTGTCTGGACTCTTTGCCGTAGTTTGCATGGAAGGTGGCTACTGAAAAGGAGTATCCAGGAAACTTGACATACATAAATTGCTTAGCTTGTCTTTGCTAATACAGTGGATTTCCTTGGGTCCTCGAAGCCCTTCTATATTGAACTGTAAGATACTTATATTTCCAATGTACCGTGTCTGTAGGTAGAAGGGTCCTGACTTTTCAATTGTCCATTCAACGGATGGGTGATAGGGCGTTACTGTTGAACTTTTTCTTCCGATGAGAGGTTATAAAAGTTTCCTCTTGTAATGTAATATATTCTATTACTATACTGAGTGACAAAAAAAGTAAACACCTACGTATGTTTACCCGATTTAAATAATTTCTAGCATATATGTTCAGTGTCCCTTACTAGTACACTGATAGAATTTTCAGCTTGATTCGTCAACTGTCTGCAGGAGCTGGTTCAATAATGTGTTGAGGATACACGATTTCTTATACACTCATTGACACGCCTGGGCATCGTGCTGATAAGGTGACCGATATCCTGTTCTGTTCTGTATCTCATTCCAGGATACAGCAACTTCGTGAGTAAGAGCTGCTTAAGTCTATGGAGGGTGTTGCAAATTCAGAGCCCGCAACCTATCATGTCCCAGACATGTTCAATTGGAGATAGGTCAGGCGATCGTGGTGGCCAAGGTAAACGGTTGATGCGATATTAATCCATGAAGGCTAACGATGCTCTGACAACATGCGGTCTGGCATTGTCTTCCTCAAAAATCGGGTTTTGGATGGTGTTTAAGTATGGAATAAGATGAGGCTTCACTTCTTCCTGGATGTAGCGTCGGGCTGTCATATTGCCTCTGATGAAAATTAGTGGTGATCTGCTACTCGTACCATAAGCAATAGCACCCCATACAATAACTCCCACGGTGTGGTGAACGTGAAGGTCACCCGATTTAAATCCTCTAGATTTTTTTATGGGGTTTTATAAGGGGGTAATCTATATTTCTGAATATACAAATGTCAGCCAACTGCGCCAGAAAATTGATGAAGCAAAGATAAAAATTATGGAAAATGCAGATTCATTTCGAAGATTAAAGGACTATTTTATTAGAGGGTGTCGCTTGTGTGTAGAAAATAATGGAGGCCATTTCGAATATGTTCTTTGAAAGTTAGTTGAACTAAATTATCTTCCACATTTGTCGGTAAATCCCCATAAAGAGCGGCTAAACACAATAGGTTTTGTACTTGTAGCTGGTAAGGATTCTATTGCGTTTCTTACGTTTATCGCATCACAACAATGAATGTGACATGATACACTCATCGTAGAAGGTGAAATTTTCAGAGTTTATTCTACATGGATTGAAATAGTTTTTACAATAAAATTAAAAATGAAATACAACCTCAATTTTTTTACCGGTACCCAAAGTTGAAGGATGGAAGAGATTTTTTACAAAACAATTAATTTAAGATTTTTTGCGTTGATTTGTAATAAGCTCTGTTAAAAATCCACAAAATCACAGCCCTTAACCGAATGGTTTAGTTGTAATTGCGATTGAAAGTTTATTATGCCGTTTTTCCGAATTTCACAAAATTGCAAATATCTCTTGAACTATAAAATTTCAGACCACACATATAGGGGTTCATTCGATAGGTTTTAAGACATTCTATCACCTGACTTCCGTTGATCCACTACTAACTTTACACCCTGTATATAATAATATGAGGTAAACAAAATGTGAGAACTGCTCACCTGTGTTCCTGGAATAATGTCCGTAGATTGTATACGATGGTACAATCTACATGTAGAGGGCTCGTAGATTGAAACTCCCCAGTCATGGAACGCAAAAAATCTTCGTTCTTCATTTGGTGCACCTGAAAATATCCCACATTCAAGGAAAAGATAAATCCGAATGGCAGACGTTAATATATTGGCCCTCCCAAGTCCTGATCATCAATCAAAAGAATTGAGTATAATTTACTAAAAGTTGTATTTTGAGATGAACGTTCATTGTTTATTTTATGCAACCGCGTACAGTGTGGCAAAATCAGCTTGGTCTGATGCACATCAGTTAAGTGATGTGGATAACCGTAATTTCATATAGGTAAGTTATTTATAGTTTCTCTCAGTTATAACGTATGTCCTAAAAGTTTTGGCGTAAAATATTAATCGGTTTTTTTATTTAAACACTAACTAGCTATCATGAAAAACAACTCAATACTTAACTAAACTATATGTACTATCGAATAGCATTAAATATTTAAAAAAAATGTCTGTTAAATATTTGTAGCGACAGATTTTTTGTATTTAATAAATATATTTCTTATATATTCATAAAGTATTCATTATAGATATTTGTAGTATATATGATTCATATCTTTTTGCTACATTTTTTTTCTAAATATTTAGAAAATATGTGAGGAAAAATTTTTAAATATCAATTTTATATTTATATACTAAGTGACCTATAAATCCGAACACCCAGTTTAAATGGTTTTATTTTAATAAAATTTTGTATAAGTACTTAATGAAGCATAATAAGTAAATGATAAAAATTTCAAAATGATTGCACTGCTTTAAAGCCCTTTGACCTTTAATAATGTGTGGATGCACCTTGATGTGCTAGGCATTCTCCAACGCGCCTAGGCATGCTTCTGATCAGGTGGTCAATGTCCTCCTGTGGTATCTCATTCCAGGCAACCACCAACTCCTCTCGAAGTGCTTCTAAAGTCTGAGGAGGACGTTGCAAATTGAGCAATCTCCTACCCATCATATCCCACACGTGCTCAATTGGGGATAAGTCGGGAGATCTTGGTGGCCATGGTAACAATGTGACATCATTATGTTGAAAGAAGTCTATTGTGACTCTTGCAACATGTGGTCGGGCATTATCTTGTTGGAAAGTTGGATCTGCCAGGGTGTCAAGATAGGGTAAAAGATGGGGTTCTAGAACTTCGTGGATATAACGCTGCGCGTTCATGTTACCTCTGATGAAGATTAAAGGTGACCTGGAACCATAAGCTATAGCACCCCAAACCATAACTCCAACAGTGTGATGAACATGTCTTTCAACAAAAAACTGTGGATTCCTCCTTTCACCACGTCGCCTTCTAACCCTGGCACGACCATCGTGCATGCCTAAACAAAATCGAGACTCGTCACTAAAGACAATACTGTTCCATTCCTGATCCCAGAGTGACCGTTGTCTACACCACTCAAGGCGATTACGTCGGTGTAAGGGTTAGAAGGCGACGTGGTGAAAGGAGGAATCCACAGTTTTTTGTTGAAAAACATGTTCATCACACTATTGGAGTTATGGTTTGGGGTGCTATAGCTTATGGTTCCAGGTCACCTTTAATCTTCATCAGAGGTAACATGAACGCGCAGCGTTATATCCACGAAGTTCTAGAACCCCATCTTTTACCCTATCTTGACACCCTGGCAGATCCAACTTTCCAACAAGATAATGCCCGACCACATGTTGAAAGAGTCACAATAGTCTTCTTTCAACATAATGATGTCACATTGTTACCATGGCCACCAAGATCTCCCGACTTATCCCCAATTGAGCACCTGTGGGATATGATGGCTAGGTGATTGCTCAATTTGCAACGTCCTCCTCAGGCTCTAGAGCACTTCGAGAGGAGTTGGTGGTTGCCTGGAATGAGATACCACAGGAGGACATTGACCACCTGATCAGAAGCATGCCTAGACGCGTTGGAGAATGCGTAGCACATCAGGGTGCATCCACACATTATTAAATGTCAAAGGGCTTTAAAGCAGTGCAATCATTTTGAAATTTTTATCATTTACTTATTATGCTTCATTAAGTAGTTATACAAAATTTTATTAAAATAAAACCATTTAAACTGGTTGTTCGGATTTATATGTCACTTAGTATATATCTAAATTTGATGAAATGTCAATTTTTTTTTGTAAATATGTATTTACTAAATATATGAAGCAACATATTTTCAAGCGTTAATCTGATATATATTTTCAGTGTATGTATATAGAAAATTCTTCATTGGTTATTTTAGCAAAATATGTAGGAATGCTTTTATAAAATTGGGCTAAGAAAATTCATTCTAGATATAATGGTTTAATGTCCTAGAAAAATATCATTAAAAACACATTCTAAGCCTCTTCTGCATCTTACAAAAACTTACTAATTATGAAGTATTATTGAATATGTAAGCTGCTTTCCAGTGGTCTTTTGTTTGAGACAGATATTCTCCAGAACCACTCAACTGGATCATTGACAATCAGCTCTATAATGCACCTAAAAGGACCCAACATTTTCTTCCTATGAGAGCTCGAGATTTGGTTGATTTTTCAGAAAATTTGGCATGTTATTTTAGGTATCTTGATGAAAAATGTCCATGGGCACAACTTGATCCTTCGTAAGGGGGCTAATTCAGCCATAACTATTTTCAATTCAAGTGACAAAAATAAAGTATTTTTGACTGTTAAAATTTCGGAACGTCGCTGTTGGACTTGAAAATTTGAAAATAGTTATAGCTGACTTTTGATATATCTCGATAAGTTCTGATTATATGACTTTTCATTGGGATGTTATGAATATAATTTTCGTATCCATTTTCAGATAAATCCACTAATCCCAAATCGCAAATAACTGTCACACTTCAAGGCTAGTTATTAATGGTCTAGTAAATACCTTTATACTCAACTGGCACAATATGGTTCACTGTCTGATATATGTATACAGAGTGTTCCTTAATGATATGCGAATATTTAAGGGTATGAATCTACATGAAAAATTAATGTTAGTTTGCTTTATAAGCTATGGTCCAAAAACTCGGGGTGTTGAAGTTTTAGGAAAAAAAATGGAAATAATTAATATTTTCAGAACCGCTTTACATATTTCACTGATATTTAGTACGTAGTGAAAGTTGATAAAGTTGCATATATTTCAACGCAAAAATAATTTTTAGCTTTAACAGTGGCGGGTGTCGGTTATTAACTTCGATATTTTTAAAGAAAAAAATGGTACGCCAATGGTTTTTTGCCAAATAAAAATTTCAATTTAGAATAAATGATCTGTCTTGAATTTTTTTCCTTCGATGCGCCATTTTTGAGTAAAAAAATAAAAACCGTTCTATTGTCCGAGAAAATTAATGTAATAATTGAAGAATGCAATTTAGCAATAAATATATAGTTGCTCTGGAATATGTCACTAGCTTTTGGCATCTGACAAGTCTCTGTTATTCAAATCTGTTCGCTTTTCCATTATTTAGTCTTTACAATCTTGTTCATCAGGGTGAATTATTCAAATGCAGTAATGGCGGAAATGCATTACGTAACGTATATGGCCTTGCCGACGGTAATGGTGAGCAAGCCAGACGGATTTATCACCAGAGATATCCCGATCGTGCTTTGCCAGATTGTCGAACCTTTACTAATATTCATCGTCGTCTTGTTGAAACTGGTTCTGTCCAAAAAGGAACATCTGAAGGTAGACCTCTAAGTATGAGAACACCTGAAATTGAGGAAGCAGTGCTGCACGAAGTCGAAGAACATCCTCAAACGAGTACGGGGAAGATCGCTAGTTACTTAAATATTTGCCATCAAATTGTTTGGAGTATTTTAGTGGATTTTTTGTTATATCCTTACCATATTTTAAGAGTACAGGCAATACTTCCCATTGCTTTTCCAAGGCGTGTGACCTTTTGTCAGTGGTATCTTCAAAAAATTACACAAAATCCGTAATTTGAATCAATGATTCTGTTCACAGACGAAGCTAATTTTTCTCGAAATGCCATTCAGAATTTCCACAATAATCATTTGAGGGCAGAAGAAAATCCCTATGCCGCAACCGAAACCCATTTCCAACAACAATTTTCGGTCAACGTATGGGCAGGAATTATTGGCAACCAGTTTATTGGCCCATTCTTCTTGCCGGGACGACTTGACGTACAGACTTATTTTCTTCAACAACAGTTGCCTTTGCTGCTTGATGATGTTCCGTTAGTAATAAGAAACAATATTTGGATCATGCATGATGGTGCACCAGCGCATTTCAGTGTAGCGGTTCGTAATTACTATTTACAAACTGTTTATCCAAATAGTTGGATTGGCCGCGGTGGGCCCCAAAAATAGCCACCAAGGTGCCCAGACCTCAACAGTTTAGATTTCTTTTTGTGGGGTTATCTTAAGGCACTAATGTACACAAGTCCCACTGTAGAGGAATTAAGAGAAATAATAGTTGCAGGTTGTGATTGAATAAAAAACACTTCAGGGATGTTTCACGAGTGCGCAATTCCATGAGAAGGAGGGCGGAAGCATGCATACTAAGTGAAGGGGGCCATTTTCAACAATTTTTGTAATCATTTCGTTGGTTTTAATGTTATGCTTATGTTGTCAGTTGTTCTTGTTCATTACCCCTAATGTGTTTAATTTTTCCAATTAAATTAGTAATAATTTTGCAAGTTAGACAATAGAACGGTTTTTATTTTTTTACTCAAAAATGGCGCATCGACGAATAACAATTCAAGAGGAATCATTTGTTTTAAACTGAACGAGAAATTCAAAAATGATTTTTATTTGGCAAAAAACCATCGGCGTACCATTTTTTCCTAAAAACTACTTTATTAACTTTCACTACGTACTAAATATCAGTGAAATATCTGAAGCAGTTCTGAAAATATTAATTAATTTCCATTTTTTCCTAAAACTTCAACACCCCGAGTTTTTGTAAGGAAACATTTTTGGACCATAGTTTATAAAGCAAACTAACATTAATTTTTCATGTAGATTCACACTCTTAAATATTCACGTATCATTAAGGAACACCCTGTATAAATGTAATTATCGCAAAACTTACCCTTTTCCACAAAAAACTCTCAAATAGTGTAGCACTTGGTGGTACACAGGAAGCATGCTATCATTGTGAAACTCACAGGCAAAATGATGCCGGCAAACGGGTCGACTCAGGTCGGCTTGCCATTATGCCATTAATCGCTCGGTGTCACAAAATATTTAATGAATATTTTCTAAATAATGGAGTTTTAGTAATTTCAATTAATTGAAAAGTAAATATTTGACGAATATTATAAAAGAGATATTGTATTTGAAATATTTAAAAGTTATTGAATAAATATTTAATATTTCGTGCTATCGGGGATGGACGAAATTCATATTAATTTATCTCAGTTTTTCGTAAATTCGCCGTCTTAATTGTCCTTTATATTGGGCTTCCCAGCCTCCATGATAAACCTTCCTAGATATTAAGGCCCAAAAATCCTCTATTCGGCGAGCCTGTGGCAAGTTTGGAGGATTATCGTTTTTGGGAACAAAAGGTATGTTGTGTATCTCTTGAGTATTGACATGATGCTAGATCCGGCCAAAACACGATATGGTCATTAGCATGATGTTCGTGGAGAAAGTGAAGCAATTGGGAAAGTAAGTTATCAGTATAGCTCTGACTATTCAAAGCTTCACCCCTCACTTTTCCCACAAAAGGTTGGGATACACCCCTGTTAGAAATTGCGCACCAGACAAGGACTTTATCTGCCAATTTCTCTCTATGTTAGCTTCTAACATTGTCTGGACATTCCTCTACGTTTTCCGTAGAAAGTCCGTCGTTTCCCTTCATTTAACGATTACTCAAAGTGAAACACTTTTCGTCATCTGAAGTAATTATTTTTCTATTGGCAAAGTGTATCCGCCTCAGTTTTTGGGCACTTAGGTCTCTCGATATTTAATTCCATTCCTCCTCAGTTCCAACGATATCGTACTCTCCTTGTTGACATTCCAACCTGATTTTTTGCTCTTCTCACCAACCTCTCAGACCTCTGTGCAAGCAAATGCACGTGGTCTTCAACTTTTTGGGGATTCAGACATGGCATTCCCTGCTCACACACATGTATTGTTCTATAAATTGTTCTGCGTGAAATGTTTGCATGGAATATTCGACAGATTTCTGCTTTGGGTACCCGCCCAACCAATTTGTAGATACTTTTTATTATTTCTAATTTAATACGACATCTTAAAGCGAAAACTTCAAAACAAATAAATGTCAACTGACAGTAAAGAAAGTAAGCAAAGCCAATTCATTTTGTGCCAAGACTTTTAGAATATACGTTACACCGTCTTACTCTATGGTCTGCTGATTTCACGGATCAAGCTAGAATGGTCAAACTATATGTGTGAATATTCCCTAACTTAATATGGGCAAATATACGTACTCGGTGATGGTTGCTCTTGTACGACGAGCGAACTAATGTCCCTGGTGAGTCCACCTGTAACAAAGACGAGAAGGAGTCTAGATTGGCGTAGCTAAAACAATTTGGCATCTAAATTAAGCGGTGTGGTGACTTCCTCAGAAGACCTTTTGCGGCAAACTGCGACGTTACCGCTGGAAAATTAACTGCGATCTATCCATGGTCGTGCAGTGCTGCTTGGCTGAAGGGTATCAAAGCTTTATCGGATTAGTCTATAAAGGCGGGCTTACACTCTACGTCTCATTGCACGTTTTGTGGGACAGGACAAATCCTATCCAATAAATCGTGGCGTGTTGTCGAATCAGAATGAAATCCAAGGCCAGATTGAAAAACTGATGGAAAAGCCATCATTTTGCGAGAACTGACAGGACAAAACCAAACGTGTAGACTCATATTCAGACAAGACGTCCGAACTTGGCTGAGTTCATGAGTAGCTCCACTTCAGTTCGCTTCCTTTTTCGCCAAAAAACTTAATAATGTGCGACTTGCAGCAATGCACCCACGATTTTCTCGGGTAATTCATTGAAATGTATGAGTTTTCCGTGTTTGTGGTAAGTGAAACGTAAAGACTATAGTGATCGTAATAAAAAAACGTCGCGTATGAGGATCTTCTAAAAAATACAAAGACCTTATGACAAATAAAGAGACTGTTACAAAACTAAACTCGTTCAGATCGGTTCACAAAATAGAGTTGAAAAAAGTGAGGGCATCAGAAATCTCTCTTACTAACTCTAGCAATTGACAATAAGCTGAGATGTCCATTCGCAAATAATTACGCCAGTCAAAAAGTTCTCTCCTCAGTTGTTTCAATAACGAGATGTGGGAATAATAGTCAGAAGCCATTTCCTGGACCATCTTGTCTTTTCCCTCTACATCCCCTTTCCTCTTAGTCGTTGTATCCTTATAGTTGAAAAAATGAAAGAAAGCAGCCATGTCTCCTCCAGAATAAGAAAAAAATATCTCCCAAGAAAATTCACTGACCAAACTTCACACAACTCAAGAGTCTAGATTGGAACTGTAGTAGAAAGCGGAAGGTAAAACAAGTAGTGTGTATACACTGGACAAAACGTACGTTTTGTCGTACGTTTTGTATGCCCGACAAAACGTACAATAAGAAGTAACGTATAAACCCGCCTTGAATGACGGAAGACCTGAATTAAAAACGATAGAAAGAAAGAAAGATTTGAGCGGATTGTAAAATGAATATGCAGCGCTTTTCTTCAATGTCCCCCTCCCCTTTGATTCTTTGAACGGATCAATTCAAAAAATTAAAACTTGATGTAATGAAATTGATGCGCGGATACCATATTTTAGAGTAAAATTGACAGATGAAAATGTCAAGATGGCCGCTTGGCGCTATCTTGGAAGAAAAATTATATGAAAACAGGGGTCTTGTGGCACATCATTTTGAAGCTCCTGACGAGTACTTTATAACACTAGAATATTAACTCAATACCTTTACCTACTACAAAATGGTGGTACATTTAATAATTACCTGAATATACATTGACATTTAATTTGATAATTCAAATAAATACGTTGACTTCAGTTTAGAAGATGCTGAAAATGGTTGCCTTGAACTACTTGACACAATAACAGCCGGTCCGTAATTTCGCGTCGAACATTTTCAAACATAGTAACATCGATACTTCTACAAATATTTATTATTCTCAGCCATATATCCAATATTGAAGCAGGTTCAGTTTCGCTTTTGCTTCAAATAACACCATAAAAAAAGTCTAAAGGTGTCAAATCTGGCGAGCGAGCTAGACATTCCTCAAGATCTCGATGGCCGGGGAAATTGTTATCTAAATAATTCCTAACTTATCTGTAGTAGTGTGGTGGAGCATCATCTTGCTGGAATACAATATCAGTATCGAATTCATTAGGATTCGCTTCGACGATTTCGATGATTAGAAGGTCAATAGTATTTTTCAGCATATCCAAATACAGTTCCCCGGTTAAAGTTTGTTCGATGAATAGATTCCCCACAATATGATTTCCCAATACTCCAGCCCAAACTTTAATTTTTGGTGGACATTGAGTATGAGTTTCCCGGAAGACGTGAGGATTGGTGTTATTCCAATAACGACAATTTTGTTTTTACACCTTACCGTTGAGGAAAAATGTAAATTCATCACTAGAACAAATATTTTGGATATAGGTAGGATGCCGTGCAATGGTTTTCATCACAGTCTCGCAGAATTCTATTCTTCGATCAGGGTCATCTTCAGTTAGCTGATGTACCATTTGAATTTTGTATGGGTGATGCTTATTCTTTTTCAAAAGTCTCCATACAGTAGAAGGACAAATCTCACATACATTCGCGTTGGAGGAAGTAGAGACAGTAGCTGTAAATTTCGATACAAGTTCCCTTAAATATCTTCTACATACAGGACGATTCGAGAAACGATCATTGAAAATCCTTTCGGTCTCGTGAAAGTTACGCGTCGCACCATAAATAAATTGATTTTTAAAAATAGTTCAAACAGTATCTAGCACTAAAACCGAAACTAAATAAAAATATTTTAACTGTACAATGGTGTTTGTTTTCGTACTGATATTCTTGTCACTGTCAACAAGAAATAACAAAACAATTTTTATCGCTGTTGCTGTGGATACGGCAGGGAATTACAATTATTATTTGTAGAGATATGCATGTTAGTGGGTTTGTGTTCAAGTAATTATTAAATGTACCACCATTTTGTAGTAGGTAAAGGTATTGACTTTATATTCTAGGGTTATAAAGTACTCGTCAGGAGCTTAAAAATGATGTGCCACAAGACCGCCGCTTTCATATATTTTTTTTCCAAGATGGCGCCCAGCGGCCATCTTGACATTTTCATCTGCCAATTTTACTCTAAAATATGTTATCCACGCATCAAGTTTTAATTTTTTAAATTGATCCGTTCAAAAAATCAAAGAAAAGCACTGTATATCACGTAAGCTAAATCATAAATATCTCGGAATTGTTTTATCATCTTCGTTGGGATAAACATATCCAATACATTAAAAAGAAACTTCTATTTTCTAATTCTAATTTCTAATATATAAGTTCATATACTACAGACAAATTTTCAATAAAACTCAGTTAAAAATTGTATATCAAACATTAGTCGAATGGAATTATTATCTGGGGATCCACGAATAATCACCATCTAAATTCTTTACAAGTAATACAAAAACTATTCATAATAAACCTTTACCATGTCCCTCCAAATCACTGTTTATAGAAGCAAAACTTTTAGACATAAAAAAATTAGCTTGGTATAATGTTATACTAGAATTCCATAAAAACAAACATTCGAACATTTATAAAAATTATGTATAAGATACTAGAAATAAAAATAAACAAATAATTATTACAACACCAGAAAAAGAAATAATGTTGAAATCTTGTATATACTTAGATCCAAAATTACATCATAACTTACCAAAATATATTAGAAAAAACTGAATATCATTATTAAAAGTAGTTGTATACGAGTGGCTTTTGAAAACTGATATAAACATGATGTAATTTATAAAAAACTAATATATATAGTTTCTTCATTGTTAGTCTACGATCCAAAATTAATGTACATATTGCACTTATATTGCATAGATTTTTTTTTAGTCCTATCAGTTTATTTTAACTGTTATGTTATATTATGTATGTTGTGTTAGCATGATATCCACATAAAAGGATATTTTCGTTTTGTAGTATATGCATTTGTTCACAATGTGTAATTGATGTGAATAAATTATTATTATTATTACTACTCGAATTATTATTTCGCCAAGGAAGTCTTCGTTACTCTCTGAAACAAGCGCAACTTTGATCTTGAAACGAATCTACCGGCGATGAGGTTCGAAATTGCTCAAAAAAAAGTATTGTAAAAACAGAAACATGTCGTTCGGAGGACATCTACTTGCAATAGAGATGTAAATCAAGAAAAAAATTAGAGTAAGATTCAAATATAGCGTGTTGTAAAAATGTAAGATGATCTGAGGGTACTAAAGAAATCTAAAGAGTCTTATGGTGATTATGGAAACGTCTTTTTTATAAACAAAAAAAATCATTGACTTGCTTAATGAGGAAGCTTTGCTTGGCTTGTGATTTGAGACTCAATGTTTTCAATATTAGAAAACTTAAGGAGGTCGATAACTTACCAATGCTTGTAGCTTGGCACATGTACGCTCCAGTATCTGCAAATGCAATGTTTCGTACCTTCAGAGCTGTACCATTTCCAATGACTAGATACTTCCTTGGATTATCTACTCTAAGTGGCTCGTCATTTTTCAGCCATTCAACCTGAAAATATATGAATGCCAGTCAGTTCTTAATGTTTTCTGGAATGGGATTTTGTTGATGATCTGTGATAACATACCGTAGGAAACGGTTCTCCTGCGACATGACAGAACATGCTGGAATCCTCCCCAGGCCGTTTTGACTGTATCCGTGGGGTCACATGAACTTCTGGAACAGCTGAAACAGAATACAAAACAGTTAGATCGCCAAGTTCTTGAAGAGTGAACGATTATTAAAAGGTAATTCCAGTGACGATATTTGGGGCTGGTAATTTTTTAACCTCAGAGGCACTTCTATAATTTATCCTATTATTGCTCCTAAAATCCATTGTGTTCTATCTGCTCAATGCCAGCTCAAAAAAAACCATGATAAATGCTCAGTAATATTTTATTATATGAGAACAAAAGAAGTACGTGTCGTTGTTAACAAAAAAAAAAAAACATTCTGAGGGACCCCGAGATATATCCCAGTCCATTCCACACAAAAAATGACTGATGGCGAAAACGAACATAAGACCGAAAAATTTACATTATCGTATGGACGCTAGACGAGACAAAGAAGGATGTCTATAGACCATCTATAGATCGTGTTTTGAGACCGTCTCCAGACTGCCTATAGATAAATCGCACAACGAGGTCTACTAGTGTGTACTAAGCTTAAGGATTAAGACTCTGACCTACCCATTAAACAAATCAAGTAATTGGTGCAAGTACTGACACAATCAAGCAGGTGATAAAAATATCAACAGGTATAGTCAAATATTTTTCGAAATTCAATATAGATGTTGAAAAATGATGGAAATCTTTGGAAAAAAAACTATATCTGTTAGATCGTAATTAGTATTATATAATACAGGGCTGTACATATTCACGTGTAGTGCAGAAGCTCTGTGATCTAAACGAATTCAATATAGCAACATAAATAGAAACATAAGCGGGATCATCGTTCGACGCATTTTCTGGACAGGCCACAGGCGCACCGCTAGACAAATCTCATAAATATTTATTTCCAATTTAGGCGTTCATTTAACATTATACTCTACTCATATTAGCAAATTTCCCCGAAATAATTGTAAAGTCCGTTTTTTTGGTGCAAGTTTTTCAAGGGGGTATTTTAAACATGGACGCATAAAATGGGTACACCAATTTTTTTTTGAAAACTTTTTATTTGAGAACAAAGAATGAGTAACGTGCTTTTTGGGATTCAATCGCAAGTGTTGACAGGAACGAGAAAATTTTTTATAGAAGATTTTTAGGTATTGTTGAGACCTACAAAATGAGACCACACGTAAAAAGATCCGACTAATAGCAAAAATGTTATGTCCGAAAAACGAGGCAAACTGCAGGTTTTGGCACTTATTGGTAATGCGACGATGGTTTCTTGCAGATATTTGAAATTCTTCAAATCCGTAGGATTCATACTTCTAAACGTCAACAGCAAAATTGGAGTATATTGGTCAAGTAATTTTTTGAGAATTTATAATTGTTTATCCTAAACCACCTGTTTTCCGGCCATCACCACTAGTTTATTGAGCAATGTACTATACAGGGTTAGTTCAAAGATCATTTAATACCAAAATACGCGTGTTTATCTTGAAGATATGAATCTCAAACCATTCAGAAAATGCTATTTTTATTCGAAAAACACAGGTTGCGTTTTTTTCTTCTAAGCAAATTCAAACATTTCGTATTTCTGAGTAATTGAACAAATGCGCTACGATATTCGAAATACATACGTCACTAAACACATTTTAAAACAAAGCGGATGTGTCTATCATCTTTTGTTGCGAATTACTCACAAATACGAAATGTTTGAATTTGTTTAGAAGAAAAAACGTAACCCATCCTTTTTTGCATAAAATAACATTTATCTTTCGTATTCATATCGACAACGTATAGTGTATTTGGCTATAAAATGCCCTTTGAACTAACCCAGTATGTTGGTCAATAAACTAATAGTGATGGCCGGAATACAGGTGTTTTGGGATAAACAATTAGAAATCCTCAACAACCACTTGACAAGTCTACTCCAATTTTGTTGTGGTTAATTAGAAGTACGAATCCTACGAATTTGGAGCATCTCAAATATCTGCGGGAAACCATCGTAGTATTACCAATAAGTGCCAAAACCTGCAGTTTGCCTCGGTTTTCGTTCATAACTTTTTTGCTATTAGTCGGATCTTTTTACGTGTAGTCTCATTTTGTAGGTCTCATAAATACCTTAAAATCTTATATGAAGAGTTATTTCGTTCCTGTGAATACTTTCGATTGAATCCCAAAAGACACGTTTTCTTATTCTTTGTTGTCGAATAAAAAAATTTCCCACAAAAATTGGTGTACCCATTTTATGCGTCCATGTTTTGGATACCCCCTTGAACAACTTGCAGCAATAAAACCAAACTTTACAATTATTTCGCAAAACAGGGGTATTTTCACCTAATATGATTAGACTAATAGTGCTTCGCTGTAATACCAACCCCAAACAACATCAGTCAAGCTTTACAAACTTTTCAAACTACTATTGAGTAACAAATAGAATATAAATCACTTTTTAAGTGCAATCTGTATGGCTGACATATTGCTCAGACTTAGATGTGTCACAAGTCACAATACTCGAATATACGTATAAATCGTAAGGATTGTGCTGTAATCGTAAGTGATGTCGAAGAGGGACAGCATTTGGGATACCAAAGGATACCAAAAAATCGCAATTTTCAGTTCCTATAGCTATAACTTGTAGCTGGTATGCCTCTGTCGCCATGATGTGTCAGAAAGCAACACAATTGTGTTAGATTACAAAAGCAAGTGTCAGACGTCTAGGGGGGGCGCCTTCCCCACGCCCCTCCTAAATCCGCCACTGCTCTCATTTAAAAGAATAGGGATAACCTATAAATGACCTTGAAAGACAAGTCAAAGTCTAATTCAATGTCACCGCCAGACAGCTGGGTAAATAAGTAGAATTTCTTCCAGGTTCTCTATTTTTGAAATTACGCCATGCCATATTCTCAATTTTAATCACCCAGTATAATAGAACAGACACTTGCACCCATTGTAGTCTGTCAGTGGCAGCATATCGCAAATGATCCATATTCAAACCTGTGCCCCATGCTGGATAGTTATCCAAGCTATAATAATGACATTTGGTTCCAAAAGAAATATATCAGAAACTAAACATATGGTGTAATCGTTTTCTATAAGCTTGCAACCAAGACATATTAGAAAAATGCAGTTCCAGCCGTATTAGCGAAATTTCGATAAAGTTGATGCTTGACTCAAATATTCCTCTCTGGAAAGTGGCAAAAGTACAGTCTTCAGGACAAAGGAAAATGTCGAGTTTCTGCTGATGCTATGGAAAGACAGTTCTCTCTCAACCAGGATCTTGATAATGATCTCGATGAGGAGTAATACATGGTAAGATCCGCCAGAAGATATTCTGGAGTCAACGGCATCAGTGATCTCGGCGCCATCATTAGTGATTCCTCTTTAGTAGAATCTTCTGCGGAAGATTCTTCAACTTCTTCATAACACATCAGCGGCATCTCTCGAGATCCCGCATTGCACTCCAGCAGAGCTTTAAAGTCATGTGAAAGACCTCCAGGTGCGTAAAGCACCTGTGAATGATCAAATTACTAATAAGACGCTGAAGCTGCTTTCACGGAAGCCCTTGACTTATCTCGTGGCTATAATCAATGCTATGTTAAGAACCTAGAACTCCCACGGCGTGTAAGACTGCGAAAATTATAATGATTCCAAAGAAGGTGAGTTCGATATTTCCCCAGGATTATCGTCCCATTAGCCAGCTGTCTGCTCCATCTAAGCTCGCTGAAAAGGCGATTCTACGTCACCTTGAGAATTTCTCGTCATATTACCATGTGATTCCTGACGTGCAATGTGGATTTCCATCTGAACATACTACATCTTGCTTCTGGATGTCTTGAAGGCATTTGATAAGGAGTGGCCCAAGGACCTTCTCTACAAGCTAATCGAAAAGGGCTTTCCGTATTGGCTCCTAAAACTTTTGGCATCCTTCTTGAAGGTAGGAAATTTCGGATCAAAATTAATAATATCCTGTCGACAGTACGGCCTATCGGAGCCGGTGCTCCTCACGGTTCGGTTCTCGGACCAATCTTGAACTCACTTTTCACTCATGACGTCCATTGTCCCAGCGACTGGGAAGTAGAGAAAATTTATATGCTGATGACACTATACTTGTGGTCCTGTCATGTTCCGGGAATCTGGTTGACGACAGGTTACAAAGTGTCTGACCAAAATTAATTATTCGAGAACTCATGCATTCTATTGTACTGAAAATCGTAGCGGCACCCCGCTGGACAATTGTACTAGGTATCTTGATGTCACTCTAGACAAGGGGATGACTTGGCAGAAGCACACTGAAGCGTTAAAACCTGAATTCCAAAATACGTTTCGGCAACTCTATCCTATGCTATGTAGACCCTCAAAATTAAGTTTGATCAAACAAGGTTCGGCTATACAAGATGCAATCACTTACGCAGGTGCAGCATGGTGCTTTCTCGCTAAAACGAATATGCGTAGTCTGCAGGTTCTGCTGAACAGAACCTTGCGTACTATTACTAATGCCTCATGGTACGTCTCCAAAGAGACCCTCCCCAGAGACCTCAACATCCCCTACCTAATGGACTACATCAAACAACGGACGCAGTGATTTCCCTTTCATACTAGGGAGGCCATAAATACACAACTTTAAACCTTTTCATTGCATTTCAAACCTTAAAATACAGTTGTACAAACTTGAAAATACAATTTATATAATTCTTGTTTAGAAAAAAGAATGCCATGTACTAAAAATGTTTCTCAGTATTTTTATTATAGATATTGTTTTAGATCAACCTTATATTAGAGAAATAGAATTAAACAGTTCATAATAAGGGCAAACAAGATATATTGAAAAAACTATAAGCTCTAATACTTATAATAGATTATAATGGAAACAATTACCTCAATAAATCCAACACACATTTTGACAATCTTTTTTTTTAACAGGTAGGTAACTTTCGTAAACCACTAACCTCCTTAGAGTGCCAAATATCAAAAACAGTCCTCCACGAAACAGAATAATTAAAAAAATTATTTAAAACCGCTCCAAGATTGGATTTGGAAAACACCTCTTTTTTCTATACTATGAACATATATGGCTTC